AAAAAAAAAAAAAAAAAAAAAAAAGACCACACACAATTTTCACATGTTTAATGTAATGGCACCCTAATTAAGTTTACAGTACTTCCATCTCCACTAGATACTGTTTCAAAAGTATAATGGGAAAAAAACAAACATGAAAAAAGTACTTTTTGTAAAGTTTTAGAAACACAACTATTTGAAGTTATACATGCATAAATGCCTTTCAACAAATTGTTGAGAATTGTATTTTCTACCCTCACACAACAAAAAAATAGGTTTTGCTGTGTCCTTTCAGTATGGAGACCAAAGATGGCACATAAGAAACTTCTGAAGTCAGAGGTGTCATAAGGTCATACCAGGACTTCCATTGGAGAGCCTGCCATAAAGCAAAAGCTATAAATAGGTAAAGAATGTGCAAGAGCTCTGAATAAGTGAGTAGCACAAGATGTTTTGCAAGCTTGTGTTCCGACAGCCATGGAACTGAAGACTGCTGGCTGAGGAAAGCCTGACTCAGTTTCTTCATCTGAAGTCTATACAAAGCATAGCCATCACAGAAAGTCAAGCAGCCAAAGACCCTTGCTTTTCACCTAAAAATCTCACCCTGAAAGATGGTGAACTCATACAGTCACTTAAAATAGACTTAAATTTTGGTGGCTGTGTTTCCTACAGTTTGCAGTGCTCATTTTAGCTTTTATTCATCTAATTCAGGATTAGGGAATGGACTCAAGTTCGTAACTGGAGAAAATTACTTTTGGAGAAGTCAATGGTTTGGTTCTAGTAGGAACTTTAAAATATTCCTTCTCCCATGCCTAGGACTGTTCTTTTTTTCTGTTTCCAAATTTACTTTTTTTTTTTTTAACTAAGAAAATATTCATTAGACTAAGAAAGACATTAACATTTTACCTTTGCATCCTGCTTCTAGAGTTGCCTCCACCTCCAAATTCCAGCAGTCATCAACCCTAAAGGACATTCACTAATACACTCTTGTGTTTAATACTAAAGGCCACATCCTTCCAAAGTCCTATCAGTATGAACAATTCTCCTCAAAAGCATACAAAATGCCCTCTAAAAAACTTGCTATTTGTGAGAGAAAGTAATTCAGAACTTTAAGTTAATAATCTGTTCACTTGTACGTCTGCCCATATGACATGAATCAGGCAGGTAATCTGATTAAAGCACAGGACTGATGGAGCATATTAAAGAAAAAAAATGCAGAAATCTACATGAATTACAACTTTTGGTTGAATCATATATTAATTATACAGAAGAAACTAAAGATCTCTACTTACACAGAAAAAGGGTGGAAATAACACAAACACACTCACTCCAGCACTTTTCCTACTATAAAAATATTGCACATTCCGATAATGTTGCACAAATTACTGGCTTTATAAAAAGACCACATGAGGTATTAGTCTATTAATAAATAAAGAAGAACATGGAAAAGGAAAAGCACTTAATATAATGCAACAATCCATTCCAAGTATTTAGTGAATGAAAACTGAAAAAGCAGTAATACATACCCTTGAGGGTAAGGTTAAAGTTACTTAGCAAATAGGCAGCTTTCATAATCCACCCCAGAAGCAAAGGGTTAAATCTCTTTCAAGAAAGATTTTAAGAGCTCAAAGTCTATTTAGAACACTGCTGTTTAAAATGCTCATTTTGCTCATGCAATCAATCTGACAGGTAAATTCTTATCTCACAATTCTAAAGAGACAGCACTATGTGGGAGACAGCAGTCTTACTCAGGAGAATCAATTTAATATACTAAACCTGTATTACTAGTTAAGAAATAAAACAGAACTTTTGGATTGACATAAGTTAAAATATTCAGGGTTTTTCTTGTGGGGTTTGGGGGTTTTATTTAGTTTCAAATAGTTTAGACTGGTTATGGATTTCCATGGTGCTGAAACTGATACCCATAAGTACTGTCCTTATTAGCAGATTCCAGCACCACAATGTATTAAATTAATACAATTGTAATTTTCAGTTTTACTCTGTGTTTATG